CCCCAAAACCCCAAAACCCCAAAACCCCACATTTCAACATTTGATTTGAAGATTCATTAATCATTTAATTCAGATATATATGCTGTGAATGCGTTAAGGACACAAAAAATTTTTTTAGAATAATCATTTTTAAGTTTTCCAAAATGCATTTTGCTTGATGAAAATCTCTTTGTTTATTAGTTTATTGAGTAGACTTCTGATTTATCTGTTAAATCTAATTCACTTTATAATTCAATTAACTAATAATATTATTAAATTAATTTTAAAATGTGTTTATTTCCAATGGGAGGTGGTGGCTTTAATATGCAGCCTGTAGTTCCCCCTACTTAAAAAGGTTTAGTTCACAAATAGCGACTATATATTGTAATGATTGTTCACTTAGTGTTATCAATCTTTTACATGTTTTTCAACATTATGGGAGGCATATTTGAATTATTTAGTGTGGCTATACTCTGGTGTGCCTCAGCATAGATGAATTACTGTCAACTTATTATCTACATGGTTATTCAAGGCAATAAATTAATTACTACTTTTGCTACAGTGGGTCTGTTAATTTAAAGAAATTTATTTGCAAAAGTTTTTACTCATAGTTATTCTACCTCATACTTGATAATAATGATAACTTTTGCAGTTTTCTACATCATAGCTATTGCTTTCAGCTTTTACGCTTATAGAGAATTTAAGGGTATGATGTTTGATCATGGATAAAGCAATCCAGGAGGACTTGGGAATCTTTTAGGCTAGAATATGGGTGGAGGTATGGGAATGGGACAATAAAGATAATAGTAATCAGATAACAGTATTCCTTTAATGCCACAGAATAATAATAGACAATAATAGTAGTAGCCTCCTGCATATGCTAACAATAATAACAATGCATACTATCAAAACGATATGTAAAGAGGAGCACCACCTGTACCTTAGAGCTAACCTAATTAAGGACAAGGAAGGGGCTAATTTGTTCCTTTCAGTGGATAAGGAGTTAGAATTGGATGAAGAAAGCAAAAGAATATTTTCTAATGGAATTATGTGTAGTAGGTATACAAATAATTGTAAACTATTTAGAGACATCTATAATTTTTGAATTAGTCATTAAAGATTTCTCTCTATTATGTCTCGATAATACTAGTGGGGTTTTGGGGTTTTGGGGTTTTGGGGTTTTGGGG